TTGTCTAACCCCTAAACCATAAGCTGGCCAAACTTGGCCTCCAAAGCAGTCCTCAACTGGTGCTCCAGCGAAGGGCTTTGACAGTGGTCCGGGTTCAGGGTTTAGAGTTTAGGGCTTAGGGTTTAAGTGTTAGGATGTAGACAGAAAGTTTTTCTTACACAGACCATAGCGCCAAATTGAACCAAACGGTATGTTTTTCCATCGCTGTTGGGGTCTGTTGCTGAGATAATAATAATAATTAGAGTCGGGTTTGGGGGTATATTATACTGCAACTAATGATATTAAGGAACCCCAAAACCCTATTCTAATTATTAAGGCCCCCACATTACATTGGTTCAGGGTTCCTGGTTCAGAGTTCAGGCGTTGGGTCATTGGGGTACATCGAAACCGTACAGAGATGAGGTGGTCGGCTGAACCACAAATTTATGAGGCTCCATGACGGTAAGAGTGCTTACAGGCACTCCTCGGGTTTATAGGGCTTCAAGGATTTTGGGGTTCGGGTTTTGGGGCTTTCGGTTTTTGGTGCTTCGAGGTCTAATCAGGATATTGGGCCGGCATCTGTTACTAATCTTCCGTGCCACTTCTGATCCCCTGAGTGTGATTCGCACAGATAGACCGCCTGGATCTGTAAGAAGCGCTGGGAAGCCATGTCTTTCCGCCCCCCCATGCGCCTGCAGCCAACCGGGGAAAGCCGCGAGGATCAGGGCCGCGACAGAAGCAACAGCAGCAGCCAGAACATCCTAAACCCTAAACCCTAAACTTAGACCGACCCTTGGGGCCTTAACCCCAAACCCTCAACCCCTAAACCCGAAACCCTCAAAGTGCTACATCCCAAGCCGCGAGATCCCGAAACCCTGAGCCCTCCCGCACCATCACTGGAGAATCGCAGGGCTCTTGCAGCGTCTCTTGTGGAGCAGTATGAGTAATACAGAATACTCAATAATTACCGATATTATTCTTGAGGGTCCCTTAGTATAGTTATAGTTATTACGTAAGCAGCCCCAAAACCTTAGTCTAATTACTAAGGCCCCTAGGGCATGTGTTGCGGTCTTGGAATCAAACAGGGGTTCAGCCCCTAGTACCGGGCTTTGACCCTCCCAAACCCTCATAAGCGGTTATACCCTCTTTCAAACACCGCTACCAAACCCTTTTCAGACCTTACAGATCCACCTCTGAACTCAGCCCTAAACCCCAAGCCCCAAGGCCTAAACCCTAAACTCCCTACGCCCTAAATCTAAACCCTATAACCTAAACCCCTAAACCCTAAACCCTAAACCCCTAAAGCCTAAACCCTAAACCCTATCAACCCTAAACCCGAAACCGTTCTGCTGGTGCCCCAAGGCCGCCCTGGGCATGTCGGGCGATCGGCGGAGCTGGCGACCAGAAAGAGGCTTGCTAAGGGGGTCAACTGAGAGGCTTGTGTGTTTAGGGTTAAGGGGTTTAGGGGCTAAGGGGCTTTTGGGGGTTTACATGGGGTTCTAGGTGGTTCAGACACTTTGGGTGTTAAGTTAGGGCTTCAGGCTTTGGGATTTTAGTTCACATGGAGCTTGCCTCAGCGGTTTGGCGGCTCGTCTGTCTGAGTCGCCTCACGACGTCGCCTTTCAAGGTGTCAAACTATAAGGGGTCTTAAATAATTGGAAGAGGGGTCCGTTTAAGGGCTCCTTTGATGCATACTTGAAGGGTTCCGACTCCCCGAATGGTGCATACCTCCCTAAACCCTATAAACCCTAAGTCCTAAACCCTAAACCCTGAGTCCTAAACCCTAAACCCTGAGTCCTAAACCCTAAACCCTAAGTCCTAAACCCTAAACCCTGAGTCCTAAACCCTAAACCCTAAACTCCAGAGCCGAACCCGAGGCCCCCCCTTCTCCTAAACCGCCCAAAGCCCTAAAGCCCTAAGCCGCAAACCACCTAAAGCCCTAAACGCCACAAAACTAAAACTTGGTATTTAAAAGCCCTGAGCCCTAGACGCCAAAACCAAAAAAACTGCTATAAACCCCAGACCCTTAACCCCTAAACTAAAGAAACTGCTATAAACCCCAGACCCTTAACCCCTAAACTAAAGAAACTGCTATAAACCCCAGACCCTTAACCCCAAAACTAAAGAAACTGCTATAAACCCCAGACCCTTAACCCCAAAACAAAAGAAACTGCTACAAACCCCAAAGCTAAAAAGGCTGCTAAGCTCGGATGGGTGCCGGCCATCCCTGCCAGGACAAGGACTCTTTCAGCCTCTGAGCAGCTGCCTTAGATGCGGGAGTCAGGTTGAGAGTTTATAGGGTCTTGGGGGGAGGGGTTTGGGGGTCTAGGATTGAGTTTAGGGTTTTGGGGGGAGGGATTTGAGGGTTAAGGATTGAGGGTTTAGGGCTTTGGGGGTAGGGATTTGAGGGTTTAGGGTTTTGGGGTGGGGATTTGACGGTTTAGGGTTTTTCGGTAGGGATTTGAGGGTTTAGGGTCTTGGGGTAGGGATCTGGAGGTCTGGGATTGAGGGTTTGGGGGTTGGAGGCTAGAAGGTTGTCGAAATGTGGCGATCTCATCCCACAACTCAAGATCTATCCACCTATCTATCTTTTTATGAGTCGATCTGTCTATCTGAGTCAGTCTATCGAGTGTTATGTCTATCTATCAGTCTATCTATCCATCCAGCTTTCTGTTTGCCCTTCTTTACTTAGCAGACTTAGCATTTATTCTACATACAAATGGCGCATACACGCACATGGGTAGTTCTCTAAGTTAGGGTCCGTCTTCAGGTCCCCAATTAGTACAGCACCCTGTTAAACAGGACCCTCAAAGGGATCCTAATTTTGAGAACTACCCCCATGGAACCTCTATAGTACCCTTGTAGAAAGTGTCTGTAGAAGCCTTATAGAAACCCATTCTAGATCCATAATTTTAAGAACTACCCACGAGCTTCCAGGGTGCATGGCTCGGCTTTCTCTTACCGCCTGTTAACTAGGTGTCAACCCAGAACTCTTCGCCCTCAACCCTGAATCCGAAAACAACGTCACGTGCGCGAGCTTGTCCAGGTCGTTCAGGAAGCAGGGCACGCAGCAGCAGCCACCAGCGAGCTCAGCCAGGCACATGCCGAAGATCTAGGATACCTCGTCTTCATTGTGTATAGCACCATGCGAGCAGCCAACATAGTGGCCTTGATAGTTGGAGCAGGATTGGCGGTCTATTGGAGTAGCACTACATCGGGATTATAATTTGATTACGAACCATTCAGAATTCCATAGTGTCTCAAATCAAACGCACCCCTGCTTTAGAGCTGCCTCGTAGATGCACGGTCCATGGTACTCCTTAACAGCACCCCATCGTTTCACGGCACCGTGAATCCAGCAGCTATCCTCAGAACCCGCATGAAACAGGAAGCAGGGTCATCCCACATAAGCCTACACCTAAGTCATCCTAAACCCATCAAAGACCCCGAAGCCCCTACCACCTCGAACCCCCCTCAACCCCATACATAAACCCCTACGCCCTAAACCCTAAGCCCACTGAGAAAAAGGAGCCCATGAAAACAACAAGACTTCACCGTAGAGGCTCACAAGCCAGCCATGCCGAAGCGACGAGGCCCAGATGCGACAGAAGTTCGAGTCATTTTGGTTTAGGGTTTAGGGTTTTGGGTTTTGGGATGAGTGGTTGTGGGGTTTAGGGTTTTTAGGGGTCTATAGGGTTTAGGGTTGGCGCGAGGATCGGGTTGACGGGAGTCGGAGGGCTTAGGGGGCAGATGGCAGATCTTTGGGGCTCTTATATCTTAAAGTGTCGGGAGTTGGTCCTTGGAGTTCTCAATACGATAAGGATGTTACTAGGGCTACTAGGGTCTTGGCTCGGATCCCTTTTTCCTGTGGTGAGTGCAAAAGATTGAAGAGCTTAGGGCGCTTAGAGCTTAGACAAGGAGCCTGAATAATTTGGGGTTTCAGGGTTTGGGTTGCTTGGGGTCCAAAATTTCAGTATTGGAAGAACTGCAGGGCTAAGGTTTTAGTACTCCAGGGCTCCCTTGGGCTCTCGAAGGCCTAGGGCTCTAGGATTCCAGGGTTTAGGGCTCAAGCGTTGAATGGTTTAGTTTTGCAGCTTGGGCCCCACAAGCAGAATGCTCCAAACGCCCCGGAAGTTTAGAAAACAAATCCACCGAGTAGATGGCAGATTTACACGAAGTTAGAGCTCCCCATCAGCGAACCTTCTTCAAAGTGCATGGGAGCCTCTGGGAACCGTAGAAAACCTGTAAAATCTTGCAAGGCCCATACAACCCTCTACTTGAATTCACGAAGCCCTATCAACCCTATACAACCTTGTAGAGCCCCAAATCCTTCACCCCAATTAAACCCTAAACCCTAAACCCCTAAACCCCTAAACCCCTAAACCCCAAACCCTAAACCTATAAACCCTAAACCCTAAACCCTAAACCTCATGCCCCGAACCCTGAACCCTAAACCCTAAACCCTGAACCCAAAACCACAAAAGCGCAAAATCCCGTTCCCCCTGCTTCCTGCACTTTGGAGGCAGCGAGAGGATCTCCGGGAAGCCGCCGCGACCTCGCAGATCTCGAGTTTAGGGTGGAGGGGTTTAGTAGGGCTTAGGGGTTTAGGGATTTAGGGCTTAGGGGTTTAGGGGTTTAGGGCTTTAGGGGTTTAAGGTTGAGCGGTTTAGGGGTGGAAGGTAGGGGTTTAGGGGTTTGGGGGTTTATAAGGTTCAGGGGTTCAGGGTTTAGGGTGTTCATAAGGGGTTCAGAGGGGTTTGATTTTCGGCCTTGTACAGACTTGTGAAGATTCTAAGGGGTTCATCTTGGTGTTAAAGAGGGTTTAAAGGGAATTAAGGTTTTGAAATAGAGCTTTGTTTGCACATGGCTTTCCAGGGTCTATGGGGCCGTACAAGAGTTCTAGATGGATTTAGGTGTTGGGTTTTAGAGCTCGTGAGTAAAGAGCCAGAACATCAAAAAGACGAAGACTTCAACAGCCCCTAAGTCCCAAGCCTTTAAACCCTAAACCCCTGAAGCTCAAAACCCTTCCCCCGAGGCCCTATAGACACCAAAAGCCCTACAAACCCGAAGCCCTTATACAAGGCTTATAAACCGCTACAGGTCCTAGACACCCTTGCGCAACTAAGCTGTACCATCCTCTTGACCAAGGCATCACCACCCTGACCGGCGGTCACTGCACCGATTAGTGACTTTTGAGCGCAGCTCCTTTGGAATGTGCGGCAGGAGGGTTGAGATTGTAGGGGAGCTTGCGAACTAGGGTGCCCAACGCCCTAAATCCTAAGCCCAGCACCCAAACCGCGAAGGGCTCAAGGTATAGTGGTCCTTCTCGGGGCTTCGGGTCAAGGGGCAAGGCACTTTGGTGCTGCTCGCATGGCAGTTTATCCAGGGTCTTGGCTTTGCACGTTCAAACCTCTTGTTGGTTCAAGCACTACCGTAGTGGTCGTAGCGGCAGTAGCAATAGGAAGTCTCAGTAAAGTAGCAGTAGCAGTAGCAGTAGCAGTAATGGTGGTGGTGGTGGTGCTGGTGCTGGTAGCAACCCAGGTCGTCTCAACTGTTTTTTTTTTGTTTGTTTCGCTGCCTTTGCGGCTCTAGCCGCTGCTGCGAGCTTCGCAGCAATGTACATAGTCTCGTATGCCCCCCGAGCTCAGTGCAAAAGGTTTTGGGCATGTTGAGGCTGTCTCCTTTTGCTTTGGTTGTGTCTGGCGATTTGTTGAGCATGTACAAGCTACAACAAAAGATGCAGGGCGACCGCCACCAGCATCCTATTTCCAGGAGCCGCGGCAGGAACAAGAAATTTCCATCAGCTCACTAGTAAGCAGCTGGGAAGTTTGAGTCGTCGTAGTGTGATCGTCGTCGTCGTCGTCGTCGCCGTGGTCGTTGTCATTGTAGTCATAGTCGTTCTTGCCTGCGCTGCTCAGGCCCCACCGCAGCCATAATCACAGCCCCTACTTCGGGCCTTTTGCTTGAATCCGCCTCTTGCCAGGTGCGAGAATTCCTTCCCCTGCCTTGCCACCTCTTTGTCTTGGTGGGCCCCCTCAGATGCAAAAGCTGGGTTTGCAAGTTACAAGGTCCTTGCGTGCGGCTTTCGAGCTGGGATATGGGCGTCAGTGCAACCCGAACCCCCCAGGTACCTATTATATAGGGCCCTAATAATAGCCCCTAGGGCCCTATATATAGTAGGTACCTGGGGGTTCCGGCAAGTTCGTGATCTGGGCCTTCGGCCAGCAGTGTCGAGTATAGGGTTTATAGGGCCGCTAGTTCTGAACTTCTGTTCCGGCTCTGGTTCCAGCAGTGTGCGTATCGATCAGCAACTTTGGAAGGGGTTCGCGGGGGTCGAGCGTTCATTAGATCTCCTGGCTAAGGGGTTTTCAGTTTTAGAGCTTCGGGGTGCAAGCCTTGGATTTCTCGCCATTTTTTGGAAGGTAGATACATTGTGATGTCGACAAGTCTGCGCCGTACGTTCTGATGATGCCGTACCATGGGGTCTTTCAGGTCTGGAATTGCAGCGCAGTGCAGTAATCATGCAGTGTCAGTTTTCAGTTTTCGTGCTAACACATTCGAAGTGCAGACCGGTCGGGTTGTAGTAGTCGCAGTTCTCATACCTATAAAGTGCGAATGCGGCGCCAAGGCTAGACGGTGTGTACGGCACATGTGATGGGAAGGTGCAGCAGTCGCCAGCTCTGCGCAAGCATGAGGAACTTGTGCTTGCACTTCTGCTGAGCACGTACTGGTCATATAGTGTAGTCTGGCATAAAAGAAATAATATAATATAATTAATATAATATAATATAATATAATATAATATAATATAATATAATATAATATAATATAATATAATATAATATGATATAATATAATATACTATAATATACTATAATATACTATAATATACTAAAAAATACTATAATATACTATAATATAATATACTTTCATATACTATGATATAATATAATATAATATAATATAATATAATATAATATGATATAATAAAAGCTAATATACTATAATAATATAGTACATAGGGTAATTCAACCAGAGGGCCAGCCAAGTCGTGATGCTAGCTTGTACCGA